TTAATAATATGACTATTATTTATATAGCAATAACGCAACTGTTTAACATCAATTAAAATTCCAGGTCAACACAACAATGTGATATGATCACTGCTTTGGTTAACTTGTAAATAAAATATCAATTCCCCGAGGTGAACACTTTCTACATAGTCACTAAATGCAATAATTACATAAGACATACACTGACGTGTCAAAAGTCCTAGGAAAAGTATGGAAAAGTATGTGTAGATAGCTCCACTGTAACTTGACATGATGAAAAGTTCTACAGGGTGGTTTGAAAGTATTGTCATCTCCACATAATATAATTTTCTATTTCAACGCTCTGTTGAGTATTATCCTCAAGGAAAGGGTTTCACATAAATGACACGACAGTTGAAGGCCGCCGTTCGGAGAGCCTTTGCAACAATCAACAAAGCACAGAGATGAGGTATTATGTACACTATTTACATTATTCGGACTATTATCCTCAAATTTTTCGCCATATTTATTACAACGTTTCGGCCGTTGTACGCTCCGGCTTTCTTCAGGTAGTTGGAATGTCGAACTGAACTGGGGTAGACTGTTCTAGTTCCACGTGCCATGTTTTAATGGATGTCAGTTATCAGTCATCTCCTGTTAATTCCCTCTCCAAGTTCTCCACTGCCTTAACCGGGTATTGAACTCACTCTTTGGGTCCTGTCACTGGATCTAACCAATGCCTTCATCCACTGTGCCATGATGACATCTGTGTATGAATGTCTGGATATTATAAACCTAATGTCACCCTACATTTTTTACCAGTGCTCATATTGCAATTTTTTGCTGTTATCATTGTACGTTTTTACCAGAGCTCATATTGCAATTTTGTTGTTGTTATCGCTTTTCTCTAGCACTCCTTACTACTGGTTCCCATATTGTATTCATTTCTATGCTTGGTCGGCTCAGGAGATTTTTGTAGCCTAGCACAACTTCGTAAAATATCACACAGGACATGGCGCCGCATCATTTTGTGCGAAGAAAATGATGATGTTCATACACACCTTCTCGATGTGTGTGTATATATATATATATATAGTTGTATATTTAGGCAGCAATCCTTCCTTAATGCATGTTTCATTAAAAACGACAAACAAGGTACTACGGTTAAGTTTTTTATTTAATTTTTCTTGTTCGAACAAGAACTTTCTTTTCTGGACAAAGAGAGTGTAAAAACATTTCCTTACCCTGTCAGCTCTTTACTGATTAGATTACGGTAACCAAATCTAGCCATATCGTTTTTAGTCATTATTTGTATTTCTTTTTTTTTTATTTCTCTTGCATTTACCCTTAGTAAAATATAGGACGGAAAGTGCGACACGGAAAGGTGCACTCGAACAGCGAAAGATGCCTTCCAAAAGCTAAGCAAAATATTAAGAAATGGGAGAATATCATTAGAAATAAAGAAACGAAGACTGACCTGTTATGTAATACCAGTCCTCCCATATGACAGTGAATGCTTGCAGCGACAGAATTGTATTTCTACATAAGGATGCTGAGAATGCCATGGAGCGAACATGTGAGCTACGACAAAGTTCTAGAGACAATGGTGATCAAAAGATCACTTCTACTTAGCATCTGGAAGAGACAGCTAAAAATTCTGGAGCACATAAGTAGAAAGAGGGTTTGGAAAATTTGATACTCACAGGACGGATTGAAAGCAAGAGGGCCAGACGAAAGCAACGCATAACCTCCCTGGAAAGCTTTTGTGAATGGATGACGGAGCAGGGCTTCGGGGAAAGATGGCAGAATGACAAAATTTAGCTGCCCTATCGAGCGGCATTTAAGCTAACTCCTGCGCAATAGGTAGGGAGGAGTAGATGTAATAAGCAACAATAAACTACAGAAGAACTCAAAATTGATCACCGCATTTAAGTATTGCATTAATATTTCAGCTTACCTTATAAAAGTTCAACGATAATTTAAAGTCAATTTGATGTACGTAGGTCCTCACTTTCCGTACAAACAATTAGTTTTATTTTATGGATGACTTTCGCTGGATTTCGCAATTAATTTCGATTATTCCGAAATTTATTTTCAACTTAAATTGTTTCCGTACAAAAAATTCGTTGCAAAATGTCGCATAAAAATCGCCAAAAACAATCGCAATAATGAAAATTTGGGAATCCAAAATATCAGGATTGCAGGTCTGAATCCATCCCAGAAATTTTTGGATTTGCTCATGGATTCAGCTTGATTCCAAAATGGTATAATATGTTGGGCTACGTAAAGTTGAAAAAGACATTCGCATTTATTATATAGTTTACAAAGGGCAAGAAATTGGGGAGAGCCACGATCGCCAACTTCCAAGAAGTTTTAAGTTGTCTGAATTTATTAGCATTGCCAATTATTTGTCTAGTATTTCTTTCATCTTAGTTCTTTTATTATTTTCTTTATTTAATTAAGCTTCAAGACGAGACAGTTATTTTTATGCCTTTTGGTATTGTCTGTTCCGCAAATAATAGTTTACAAAGACTTGTGAATTCGGGTAAATATGTATAAACAAAACACGTTTTGAGAAACGAAAAGAAAGAAAGAAAGAAAGAAAGAAAGAAAGAAAGAAACTTTATCATTTGAAGTTGTGGAAAGTTGAATCCAATTCTGAGTTGATGTCTCTGAAGTACTTACATATCGTGTGCCTTTCGAGAAGTAGAAATGGGAACGTGCTGTTGCTCACAGAGTTGAAGGGAAAAGAGATTGGGACTTGAAAAAAAAAGCACGCCTCCTATTATTCTAAGTCAGGGGCGATAACTCTATAGCTCTTACTGAAATCAGCCAGAAATGTTTAGAGTACTAGTAAAAATTATAGAAGCAAAGACTACTAGTGTAAAAATGTAAGCAAGAAGATAGATAGATAGATAGATAGATAGATAGATAGATAGATATTACAAGTTTTGAATAATCAGCTGTAAATAGAGTCTCCCCAAAAGTAGCTTCCTGGCATAAAAGTGCTCTATGCCATAAAAATGACAGAGCATTTGAATATTAATTCAATAACCAGATAGGTAATGACTGGCCACTACTTAAAGTTCCATGTTCTTGCACACAATGTTCAGGTAGCCAGTAATATTTACTGACCTCCTCACGAGGTAGGATGTGGCACAAGGCCGAAAATTCCCCGTAGACCCCGCTTAAACGGAGTCGGGTCTGTCCACCACCCCGGACGAAACTCTTCCCTTCGGTATAGCCTCGTCCGGGTTCCTCTCTACTCGAAGACAGAGCATTCGACAACAGCTAAGAACTGAGCACGTGGCCAGCTCCCCCGCTGCCTACCTACCTGGATCTTCAGCTCTCAGTTTCAATGGATAAGGCTCAGATAAACACATTAAAGGGAATCCTTGGTAACCTGCCTATACAAAAAATATTGTTCTCACAAGTACACAACTCACACGCTTTATCAATATAAAATGCTTATGATCTTAAATTGTTTTATTTATTTATTCACAAAAATGTTCAGTAAAATAGTGACGATGCCGTTTCTGACCTAGGGACTCAAAAGAAAATGATTATATAGCAGAAATGAAAGGAAATAATAATAATAATAATAATAATAATAGTGTGAAAATAGAAAAAAAATAGTGCCAGTCATAGTAGGTGCGCTTGGAATGATAAAAAAGGAACACAACAACACATAACAAAAAGTTAAGTTTTGAACCTTCAAAATATCCCAGACGAAAGTAATAGTAAACACAGTCAAGAAACGAGGCCAATATAAGAAAGGGTGATTTATATTAATGATATAAAAAACACAAATAATAGAAATTAAAAACAAGAATAGTAACAGTGAGAATAGGTTCGCTTGGAATGATAAAAAAGGAACACAACAACACAAATCGCTGAAAATCCTAGCTTAAGAGAAATATAAAAAATACAAAAAATGTCTTGATAAGTACAGCCCACACATTGAGAGCTTTGTCCATGTAACGCAAATGATGTTATGGGGGTTAGAAAAACAAATCAGGAAATGTAACCATAACAACACACCTGCCTTAGGTCTTTTCACAGACTTGGTAGATAGTGTGACCATAGCAGAAATCGAAATATGTTGATGATTATATAATAATAATAACAATAATAATAATAATAATGAGGAGGAGGAGGAGCATCGCCCTTGCATGGAGTATTGCTGCCATATATGGTCTGGAGCCCCTTCTGTTTGTCTCAAGGTTCATGATAAAATCCAGAGACAGATATGCAGTGTAATTGGCCCTGATCTGGCATCTCGTCTGCAGTCGCTCTCTCACATTGCCTCCCACTGTCTTTTTTGCAAATACTTTCATGGCAACTGCTCCGATGAGCTGCTTTCATTGGTTCCCAGACTTCATGAATTTAAGCGTTCTACTAGGCTGGCATCTCGCTCTCACTCTTTCACTGTCGAAACTGTTAAATGTAACCGTCTCTTCTACTCCAATAGCTTCATGTCTTGCACTTCTCGCCTATGGAACTCCCTCCCCTTTTCCTGTTTCCCTGATAGTTATAATCTCCAACTATTCAAATGTAATGTCAATCGACGTCTCCAGATGTCTTGATCTATCCCCTATCCTTCTCTTCATCCTTTCCTCTATCACTCCTCTTTGCTCTTGCTCCAACTCTCTGTAACCCCTTGCGTTCTAGTGGCTTCCCGCCTTGCTTGGGGTGAAACGCTTAATATATATATATATATTAAGTTAAGTTTTGAAACGTTAAAATATCCCAGGCAAAAGTAATAGTAAGCACAGATAAGAAATGAGGCCAGTTTAAGAAAGGGTGATTGATAAAAAACAGAAATAATAGAAAAAAGATAATAATGCATTTTATGACTTTAAAATAGAAGTGACCATGAAAGTGAACAACTGAAAATAATCCACTTCATAGCGATAATAAAATAAAAAGGTCATCTAAGGTAGAGAAGGGACATTGGACAGGAAAACACTTCCGCAATCACCGCCGGTGAGTCTCGGCATTTAATCTCCCGCATAGAATTCTTCCTTCCAGGTAAAATCAAGATGGGTCATTTGCCGTCCCGTAAGGAACGTCGGATTCTGTTGAAAGGTTTCGAGGCCAGTAAAGTGATTCCGATCAGCAGAGTGGAGAAAGAAATCGAACTGCTGTCCAGCAAGGAGGAGCAGACGATGCAGCAAGTAGAACATTTTGTGCAGCAGCTCAAACATAAAGTCATGAAACATGAACGGAAACAACGCCAAAACGAGATGAAGGTTCGTATCACGTGACTGCCACGTTTTTAATATTTCGCACACACACACATTTTGAAAATTTTTAGGTCAAGGGAGAACAAAAGACACTCACTGTGTTACTGGCCCTAAGAACCTGCTGATATTTTTTTTATGGACTGTGATTGGACGGTTCAAAAGTTAACTCCCCTCCCCTTTTGAAGGGGAAGGGAGAACTGGGACTGGACCTTAGCAGCAGTTGGAAACGAGACAGCTTAGAAAGAAGAGGTTCGTTTTCTCTCTCTCTCTCTCTACTGAAAAAGCAGGCAGCTTTGCCCATAAGTGAAGGATGCATGGTTAACAAAGTTGCTGAGGGCAAGTTTCCCCTTCAGAGAAAGTTTTGAGAAGTCCCCTCGAAGAAGCCCCAGAAAAGAAAGTTTGAAAAGAAGTCCATAAGTGGAGTTTGGGGCTAAAGCCGTTTAAGAAGAAGAAGGAGTAAACACGTGCGTATTCAAAAGGTGTTTTAGCATGTGTTTAAGTAAATTTTCACCTTCTAGCGGCCGTAAAATAAAGACGTAACTTCCAGGCGGACGGGAGGAAAATAAGTGAAGAAAGAAGGGAGTTTGGTCACCAAGAAGAGAACCTTGTCTACACAAGAATGAAAAGAAAAAAGATAAAAACTTTTGAACCTTGAAAGGACTGAAAGTGTACTGTCGAGCTATGGCTCTTCCCCCACCTTTTTTTATTGTTATCATTGACACAGCAGGTGGGTGCTATTCTTTTTTTGTTTTTTTGGTTTTTGATGCTTGTAATTTTTAAGTTTGTTTTCTGCTATGCTTTTATACATTGTGTTAATCAGAGAATAGGTTATCTTATTCTCAGCAAAAAGGGACGAATATTTGCAAGAACCTTTATTTAGCTGGTTAGAAATAAATATTTTTCTTTGTAATTGAATCTGATTTGCATTTTTTTTCTTTGCTTTTTCGTTATTAATTCGGGCAATCGGGCAATAGTGAAAATACTGTTGCAGCAGGTTTTATTTTCTTTCAGAAAATAAAATTTCTGAAACATTTCGTCAGAGCATTTGGATAATTTTGATAATCTAATAATACTAGTGATCTAACGGTCATCCTCACGGAAAATACAACAGGTAAACCGATTTCAAATTCTAACCGTAGCTGTTGCGTTTACCAATGCCCTTGGGAAAAAAAAACACGGTCCCTTCTCTAGTCTTGGCTGGTAAACAATCTTCGTGATGAACTCAAAACCGTGAATCAGAAATCACTCTACTGTTATTACTATTCACAGGAAGCTGTGGAGAGTCATTAATGCATATGTCCTGAAGAGATATAGCTTTTATTAAATCTTAACTATTAACTTCAACGATTACGGCTTCGTGCTAAACTAACTTTAGTAAATCTGTAACTAGCGCCAACCGTAGAGCCATTATAACTCATTTTGCCTTGTAGCGAGTTCGAACCCGTGTATTTTAAAATAATAGCACCGTACCAAAGTAGATTATTTTTAGTCAATCTCAAAAATCCTCCTATTGTTAACAAACTTACCCTCCTATTTTCTTCTTCAGTGAAACTTCTTCTCATAAGTGGCCTTGTACCACACCAAGCTAAGCTAAATAAATAAATGCGTCTACGGTCATGTCTCATTGAAAGCATCGCTTTTGGTCTGGTCAATGAAGTTAAGCACTCGAGTACTTGGCCAGTATTCAGCTGGGTGAGCTCTTAAGAACACCTAGTAAACAGTTTTACAGATTTTTGCATTACCAAGGACATTTAGCAATGTGGGCTAATCTTGTAGTGCCTCCAAAATTGCTGGCCCTGTACCAGGCGAATTTAAGTTTAATAATTAACTATAAGATCCTTCCCCACAAATTAAAAATTTATAGTCTCACACATGAGAATAAGTCTGACACAAGGCCACAAACTTAGATTGTCTTACAGGGTCACGAGTGAGAATTTGGTATGTGGCTACAATTGCAATTACATGGCCATAATTGAGGTTCTGAAACAGAATCGCGGCTGTCAGTCTGGCACAAGGCCACAACTGCATATTTTTGTCGTATTTATATTAATGTAATCACGATGAGAAATTCCTACTACGCTACCTACAACCACATCCTGACTCAAACGAGTTAATAAAATCCCATAATCTAAATCTAATAAACCTTATATCAATTACCAAAATATACTAATAAATAAATAAGCGTAAGTAAAAAACATAATGCATTTTATATGATAAACAGAATAAGCTCCTTTACCAATACACTACGTTAGCCTCCGTAGATGGATAGATTGTTTGAGAATGTTTTTCCTTGTATATTTTGTCGTGCTTTCATTAATGTAGTCACGATGAGAAATTCCTACTACGCTGCCTACAACCACATCCTGACTCAAACGAGTTAATGAAATCCCATAATCTAAATGTAATAAATCTTACAAATCTTGTAAAGCCTTTACATAAGAATCCTTAAATCTGATAGTCTTCAAATTCTTGTATAAACTCGCGATAAGCTTTATGCCTGCTAAATCTAAATGTACATTTAAGGCCTAGACATCCTATCTCTAACCCCCATTGTTTGGAGAATGTTTCTCCAATATTTCTTGTCGTGCTTCTCATAGGGGCGGGCTCATATTTTAGCCTTGTGCCACACTAAGCTAAGCTAAATAAATAAATGCGCTTATGGTCATGTCCCATTAAAAGCATCGCTTTTGGTTTGATCAGTGAAGTTAAGCACTCGAGTACTTGGCGAGTATTTAGCTGGGTGAGGACTTAAAAAACACCTAGTAAACAGTTTTACAGATTTGTGCACTAATATCCTTGTAGTTCCTCCAAAATTGCTGGCCCTGTACCAGACAAACTTAAGTTTAATAATTAACTATGAGATTCTTCTCCACAAATTAACAATATAGTTTCACACATGGACATGTGTCTGACACATGGCCACAACTTAGAATGTCACACAGGGTCACGAGTGAGAGTTTGGAACAGGGCTACAATTGCGAATGGTTGTGAGTCTGTCACAAGACCACAACTGTATATTTCTTGTCGGGCTTACATTAATGTAGTCACGATGAGAAATTCCTACTACGCTACATACAACCACTTCCTGACTCAAAAGAGTTAATTATATCCCATAATCTAAATCTAATAAACCTTATATAAATTACCAAAATATACTAATAAATAAATAAGCGAATTATACATGTAAATAAAATAATGCATATTAAATAATTAATAAATAAACAGAAGAAGCCACCGAAAGAACGTGGCTATAAATAAATAGCGTAGTGGTCGTGTTAACAATTTGCAAATGCTCTGACTAGGAAGTTAAGTCTTACTGGCAAATATAGCTTTACAGTTGAAAGACATTTTAAATCATGAGTGCCTCGATTGATACAAATTATTTATTGATATTGGATTCGTTTCTTTTTGTTCGACAATATAACAGGTAACTGCCACTCCAACTAAAAAAAAAACGATTACAAATCTTATAGCGCCCTTACATAACAACAGTTTTCGAATTCTCGTATAAACTCGCGATAAGGCAATGTCTGAGAGGCATACTGTGTGGATCAGTCTCACTGACAGTGAAACTTGCAGACAACTGATCTGCAACGAGAAACGCTATTTCCAAGAATTATTTGGCATTTCGATCTTATTTTCCTTGATTCTATTAACATTTCAGCTGATCTATTCTTTGTCCGTCAGGATTTTTTCACTATTTTACCTGAGACAATTTTCCACTCGGATCATCCCAGACTAAACTTTGTGACCCGTTCTTTCTTTCTAGATATTATCTGATTTTTTTTCTTCGGATATAGTCTTCTTACGTACCATTAGTCTCTCTATAAGGAAACGGCCTACTTCTCGTTTGTAGACTTTTCTACATGTACATGAAATGATACAAAAACATTCTTTTGTCATTCACATCTTTTGTCAGAGATCTTCATGTGAAAATTTCAAAGAATGGTTGACCAATTCAAAAACCATCCTTATATTGTAACGTCCATATATTCTTTGAATTCACTCTGGCTTCTCGTATCTACATAATGTCCAAACAACATTTGGAATAATAATGGCACCCCTCAAAATGGCAGAAGGTATCTTAAACAAAAAGAATGAGATTAATAGTCTTGTGATGCATGTTCTTAGCACATATATCTATTGTACATTTAAGGATTCAAGAAAAAACAACGAAACTCCACTTGTGGTTCAACAAATAAATATATGTTGAAATATAACATAGAAAACAATCATGCAATGAAGTGTAATGATTAAAGAGAAAAAAGTTGTTCCCCTTCAACTGTATTCTGATTTATGATTGAATGTTCGAAAGAGTTTCTCTTGAATAAGAATGTTCAGGATTCTATGTTGAATAGAGTCTGCTGTTAGAATAGAATAGAGTTAATTAAGAAATGTGTCGTTTAGAGAAATTAATAGAGTTCTGGTTCATGAATTTGGTTTAGTCATATAGGGAGATATGTATAATGTGTTACAAAAATCTGTGTCTGTGTGTGCGTTTGAAATGTTGTGAGTAAAGTCGTAGATTTGTGTGGACAGGCGAAATAGCTGGACTCTACTGGCGGCTTGTGGAAAAATTGCTTCTTTTAAAGGTACCGATAGGCTCCGATCGAAAACGCGGAAAAAATTGATTTAGTATTAAAATGTTTGATTGGTTAGAATTTGACCAATTACTGATTTTGTATCAAAGAAACATGTGAGCAAGTTCACGACCGAAAAATTCAAAGTGATGACTGCGATTGCTAAATTGTCTTATAGAAAAGCAGTATTGATTTACTAGCCAATCGCAGACGAATAAATTGTGGGCGTGGAAAAGCATAGCAGTCGCTACAACCTGAACAAATTTTGGAATGATAATGACACTCATCAAAATAAAAGTTTCTTAAACATAAAAAAAAATTATATCAAGAGTCCGAAATAATTGTGGTAAGAAAACGAGTTTTCATTTAAAAACATATTAATATATTTTATTTATTTTACTAAACAACGTTACGCACTGTCTGCGACACTTTAGTGATTCTATCATACGTTCTTTAATAGATTTAAAAACTGTAATTATCGTTGTTTTGTCTGTTGTTATTATGATTGCCGTTGGTTGGTGGTTCTAATTTTTATTAATTTTCCGTATTTTTCTTATTCCAGAAAAATGAACATCATCGTTTCGGCAGTCGACTGGGTCAGCATCATCACAAAAATTAAGCAGTAACAAAGACCACAGAAATTTTATACAGAAAACTCAGCATTATATATATATATATATATATATATATATATATATATATATATATATATATATATATATGGAGAGATATAGAGATATATAATATTGACTTCATATAGGAATCCTTTAACTTTTTCTAACGGTTGTAAATTTTTGTACATTGATGACGAATATTCAAATTATTTTGGTGTCCAAATCTTCACCTTTGTTGAGATGTTTAAAAAGAAATCAAAACAATGATCACTGGCTTTACTTAAAGTACAGCCTTTTTTTTATTTCTCTCTACTGCCACTGCGCTGTGTGCGAGTAAGCGTTACCTAAAAAAAAAAATAGTCGAACACTCGTTAAATCACGTATTTGCCAAAACAAAATGGAGAAAAGAAATAACAGGGGCGGTAAATCTGGTTTAAATTCTTCCCCTTGGAGAAAATGAGCTAAATGATAAAAAAATAAAAATAAAAAGAATTCAAACAAGGGAAATAATCATTGTTATAATATATTGAGTTATCTCCCTTTATAAAATTTATTAAATTTTTTTTAAGTTAAGGGTGATGATGGTTGTTCGCTGACTGAGGCCTTTTCTTCTTTCTGTTTCTTTCTGTCGAAATTCTCTCAAATCTCTTTCATTAATCTTCTCAACATAAGCACTCTAACGATGAGACCGCCAACTCTCTCAGAGTTCGAACCTGGTTTGTTGGATGTTTGTGCCAAATTAAATTCTGCTTTGAAACAGGACACATTATTATATGAAAGTAAACCTCATGAAATGAATTTCACAAATTCTTCTAACAACAACATGCATATACATAGATAGATGGATAGATAGATAGATAAAGAAGACACACACTAGAACACACACACACACACACACACATATACACACACATATATATATATATGTATATGTGTGTGTATATATGACAAATAATATATATTCATATATTTATATATATATATATATGTGTGTGTGTGTGTGTGTGTGTGTGTTTTAAGGTATGCTATATTTATGGGTTAAAGAGCTCAGTATCAGGGATAGAGCGTATGTAAATATAAAAATGGATATTGAAATCAATACTCAGAGGCGACAGACTGTTTCATGCTAAACACAATCATCAGGCCTGAGTGTTACTTCAATGTCCATTATATATATATATATATATATATATATATATATATTAAGAAATGGACAAAGTCCGACAATTTATTTAATAAAGACATTTTTTTATGTTTAACGTTCTTTTTTATAGATACAAGTATTTAAGAAAATGCTCTGTTTATAATTGAAAGTATTTGATAACATTTAGCGTATGGATGTCCGTTCGAAATTTTCAAAGAAAATATTCGAATCCTTTCTATGAAAATTTTTCTTAGGACATTCAGGCCGGTAAATGTTATTTAATACTGTTTATTATAAACAGAGTATTTACTTAAATACTTGTATCTATAAAAAAAAAAAAAAAAAACGTTAAACATAAAATGTCTTTTAATAAATATATATATATATATATATATAATATTTATTTATTTAAAATTATAACATAAATATGTTATAAAATCTCTACAAAAATAGCCATTTTGTTTCAACACCTCTGGTGTCTTATCAAATGATGATGTTGAATGTAGATTGCAGAATCTACTCTGTATTGAGCACTCTTTTAATAATAGTAATTGTTGGTTATTGGAATTTATTCCGTACACACCAATCATATACTTATATATATATATATATATATATATATATATATATATATATATATATAAAAAAAAATGATATATAAAAATCTATATATCAGAAAAATTCAAAGGAATGATAAAATGGGAAAACATTAGTGTTGTTGCCGAGGCCAGAAGTCGAGATCTCGCATGCTGAGGCTTGTTTGTGTGTAGTGGCTTTCTATCTTAACATGATATTTTGCAAGCTTCTAATGTAGGCTCGTTTGCACCTCCACAAAGATCGAGCCCTACTCGCTACCACAACACGGTAACCTAATAATAACCATATATTTAACATACCAAAAGACAGACAGGATAGACTGATGCATTTGTGTGTATGTTTGTGTGTTTACATAAGATAAGGAAGCCCAGTGAGCATCAAAATTACTGCGCAGACATGCTCCCTTACCTATACCCCACGTTAGCCTCCGTAGATCGATAAATTGTTTGAGAATATTTTTTCTTGTATGTTTTTTGTCGTGCTTTCATTAATGCAGTCACGATAAGAAATTCCTACTACGCTACCTACAACCACATCCTAACTCAAAAGAGTTAATAAAATCCCATAATCTAAATCTAATAAACCTTACATCAATTACCAAAATATACTAATAAATAAATAAGCGTATTATATAAGTAAACAAAATAATGCATTTTAAATAATTATGCGTCTACGGTCATGTCCTATTGAAAGCATCGGTTATGGTTTGCTCTATGAAGTTAAGCACTCGATTACTTAGCCAGTATTTAACTGGGTGAGTTCTTAAGAACACCTAGTAAACAGTTTTACGGATTTTTGCATTACCTAGGACATTCGCAATATGTGCTATTCTTGTAGTGCCTCCAAAATTGCTGATCTTGTACCAGACGAATTTAAGCTTAATAATTAACTATAAGATTCTTCCCCACATTCTTCTCACACATGAACATAAGTCTGACACAAGGCCACGAGTGAGTATTTGGTATAGGGCTACAATTGCGAGTCTGATACATGGCTATAATTGAGGGTCTGAAACAGAACTACGGCTGTGATTCTAGCACAAAGCCTCAACTGTATATTTTTGTCGTGTTTACATTTATGTAGTCACGATGAGAAATTCCTACTACGCTACCTACAACTACACTCTTACTCATAATATAAATCTAATAAACCTTATATCAATTACCGAAATATAATAATAAATAAGCGAATTATATAAGTAAACAAAATAATGCATTTTAAATAGTTAATAAACAGAATAAGCTCCTTTACCAATACACCACGTTAGCCTCCGTAGATGGATAGATTATTTGAGAATGTTTTTCCTTGTATATTTTTTGTCGTGCTTTCATTAATGTAGTCACGATGCGAAATTCCTACTACGCTACCTACAACCACATTCTGACTCAAAAGACGAAATGAAATCCCATAAACTAAATCTAATAATCTAATAATTATAATTTTATCTTTACCCTAACATAACAAATTATAATATAGCTAATGGGACCCTGAAACTAGATTTGTACATGTCTTTATGTGAAGTGCAGGCAGTTGATAGTATTATTTTTAAATTTCTTTCTCACTCTTTTTTCTCTACTTTTCTTCTTTTCTCTACCTCACTACAGACTCTACCTCATCTTATCTCTATCTAGACGTTCCCCTCTCTCTCCCCTTCCTCTTCTATCTCTTTGCACCCCCTCTCTAATTAACCATACATTTAGTATCTCTTTACTTCCCTCTCTCACCTTTCTTATCCATTTTTCTTTCTCGCTAGCTCTCCTTCTCTTCACTTCCCCCCTCCCATTAACAACCTCCATCGCTCTACCTCCCTTTTCTCTACTGACTCTTTCTCCTTACTCTCCCTTTTTTTCCTCTACGTCTTCTTTCCTTTAAACGAGATCTCTCTTTAACTCTTCCGTCTTTCTATATTCTCTCTTTCTCTCTACCTCGGCTTATGGCCACATCACGTTGAAACACAGGTCCCAGTACGATCACCGAAGTTAAGCAACGTCGAGCCTGGTCAGAACGCTTGGGAATAGCAGGTGTTGTAAGCGTGGATTTGCGTGTGGCGTAATGGATAACAGCTATGAAGTGTTAATCGGAGTGCCGAGTTCCAATTCCAGTTCGTTATATTCTCTTACGCGTAAATACCCTTGCGAAAAGTATGAATCCACCTCTTCTCCCCCAGCTATGGGTTAATTAGTAAAGCTTCTATCACTAAATCATTATTATCTCCAAAATATTTATTTCTTCTGGGTTTAAATAATCTGCAAAGTGTTGATAAGCCATGAAAAATGAATCTCTCTACTTCACTCTATTTCTACCACCTTTCCTATCGACTTCTCTTATATTTAAAACTAGACTACCCGTGACCCGTTGGGTCACTGACGGTTCAAATTATAAAACATTGAAGTTGATTTCAACATTATAAAAGTTGTCTGTTTGAAGAAAGTTGAAAATACTTACTGTATAAAAAGATCATATTTTGAAATCTTATTCACTTAAATCAGATTAACTAAAGAATATTTTTAATATAACAAAAATATTTTTAAATCATATTCACTTGAAAATATTTTTTAAATATGGCAAAAAATATTTTAAAATATTTAAGATATTGTTTGTTTAAAGAAAGTTGTAATATAAATAAGCATGAACGCAATCACAGAGACGAGGAAAGAGAGAGGTGGGAAGAGAGAGGGAGAGGTTGAAAGAGAGAGAGAGAGAGGTGGAAAGAGAGAGAGGTGGAAAGAGAGAGAAGTAGAAAGAGAAAGGGGGAAAGAGAGAGGTGGAAATAGAGAGATTTGGAAAGAGAGAGAAGTGGAAAGAGAAAGAGAGAGGTGGAAAGAGAGAGAGGTGGAAAGAGAGAGAGGTGGAAAGAGAGAGAAGTGGAAAGAGAAAGGTGGAAAGAGAAAGGTGGAAATAGAGAGAGGTGGCAAGTGAGAGAGGTGGAAAGAGAGAGAGGTGGAAAGAGAGAGAGAAGTGGAAAGAGAGAGGTAGAAAGAGAGAGAGAGATTTGGAAAGAGAGCGAGGTGGAAATAGAGAGAGGTGGAAAGAGAAAGGTGGAAAGAGAGGTGGAAAAAGAGAGTGGTGGAGAGAGAGGTGAAAAAAGAGAGTGGTGGAAAGAGAAAGAGACAAGTGGAAAGAGAAAGAGACAAGTGGAAAGAGAGAGGTGGAAAGAGAGAGAGGTGGAAAGCGAGAGACGTGGAAAGAGAAAGGTGAAAATAGAGAGAGTTGGAAAGTGAGAGAGGTGGAAAGAGAGAGAGGTGGAAAGAGAGAGAGGTGGAAAGAGAAAGGTGAAAAAAAGAGGTGGAAAGAGAGAAATATGGAAATAGAGAAAGATGGAAAAGAGAGGGGGGAAAAAAGAGAGTGGTGGAAAGAGAGAGAGAGGTGGAAAGAGAGAGAGGTGAAAAAATCATTATGCACCCGGCGACCGACATACGTACGATTCACAGACTTTTAGTATTATATAGATTATATAGTAAATATTATTATATTATGACTATATAGATTACATAATAATATTCAGATGAGCTAAGCTAAAATATTTTTTGATGTGACCGGTGTATGAAATCTTTGTTTTAATCGATAAATGCACATTTTTTAAACTGCTGAAAAGAACTAAAATTTTTTAAATCCGCAAACTTTTATAAGTTTGTACTAAAATTTTTAGTAGAAATAACCCAGTCCTAAAAGTCAAAAACAGCAAGTTTTACTTTTAAAATATTTAGCGAGTTTACATTTATCAGCCAGTATTTAGCAATTAAGCCCACACTCGACGTTCATGCTAGGAAAAAAAATTGATTTAACTCCAGTTATTGTCAAGTTCATGAAATACGTTTTGTTTTTTTTTGGTTTTTTTTATTTGTTTTTTTTTAAATTCGTCTACAGATTAAAACGTGCTAATTTGGAAAACGTGAAGCAACAAATGTCAACTTTTATTTGCCTTTTAGACAAAAAAGAGAAATATCACGTTCGACCAGGTGTGTTCATACAATATAACGTCGTCCCAAGCCACTGTTAATGATGTTTCAACTTACAGCAAGATCCAACTCCTTATTAACGATCTGGATCTATGATCCTTCCGCTAACAAAATAACCAGCATCAAATTTTCATGATGCAGTGAGAGACTGAAAATATCCAAACTCAATTGTACCGTGCAAATTCTTTTATGGAACGAAATGAGAGCCATCTTTATAAACAGAAACCATCTTAACTAAGGTTCAGATCTATATTTCATGGGAGCCTCCAAGTCAGACTTTAGCTGCCACCATATAAATTATTCTGCATTTATTTGCAATTAATCATTTGGAAGCTTTCCATTCAACATTGGTTATAAATAAATAAATTCTTATCACAGACAATTGCTAGTCTAATATTGACTGATTGCATTAC